TGTATGAAAGGTATATATATATATATATATATATATATATATATATATATATATAAATGAAAAGTATAGGACACTATATATATATATATACACATATATACATACACACACATACATATTTATATATATATAAATGCATAAATATATAGTGTCCTATACTTTTCCTTTCTGATTTATGTGGTGGATTTCATTATTGGCCCCAATTTTTCATTGTTCCTATGTCCAAACTTTTTGCTATGTAACATTTTAGCTCTTACTGCAGATGTTGTCTGTAGTTCTCCATTCCTTTCCTTTGAACTTGGTGATGCTTTGGCCAATGAGATATTACCAGACATCAAGTAAGCTGGGACTTTAAAATTTCTTTTGTAGTTAGATTTCCCCTACTTGTGATAACACATTCTGGTTAGCCCACTGGTCCAAGAAGAATGAAACATGTAGAGCAGATTCAACCTTAATGTGCTTCAGCTGAGCCCAGTGGAGATGAACAGAGACATAAAACCATGCCAAAATAAGTGGTTTTTATTGTATATATGTCAGAGACTTTTGTAATTATCTATTACACAGCAGTAACCAATGCAACTTGTAACAGGTGTGAACTGTTTTAAAATAGGAAATAGAAGATATGTCACATTACTTGTTTAAACCAATAAACAAATAATGTGACATATCTTCTATTTCCTATTTTCCAATAAAGTACTATAAATATTATAGGTAACCACTGATTAGTTTTTACAGATGATGATTTTAGCTACCTGGAAGAAGTTAGTGAAAACCAGAAAACAGCTCACTGTCACTATCTGGATAATCATGAACAAATTACTTAACCCCACAGATAGTATGGGGGGGTTCCTATCTTTAAATGAGGGGAATGGACTCTGCATGGGTAATAAATAGGTTTGCCTTGAGGACTGACTCCAACTGATTGCTGTGACTTTCTAGAATGCTATGCTAACAATGACCATAAGGCCAAATTTAGGCTCTGTCAACTGAGTGTCATGATCAATTAGCAGTGTCTTTTCTGACTATGAGAGGAAGGTTTTGTAGCCCCAGAGCCACATACTTGACATCTCTGGATTATGTGACATATTTTCTTTCCATATTTGACACCCTATACCCAGAGAAGTCAATAAATTGACAGAAACAATAGAAGTGAGATCTAACTACAATCTTGGACAGGCAAGAATGATCTATTTTCTCCATGTTTCTCAGCAAAGTGTTAGGCACACAGAATAGTTTAAGAATTGTGACTGTTTTATTGCTTGTGGTAGCTCCATAGTTCAGAGGTTCACTCAATGGACTTACAAACCTCTTGGATGCAGTTGACAACCACTCACCTTAAACTAACTTAGAGTAAAAAAAAGAAGTGAAACACTGACCTATATAACTGAGTTGCTGGTTTCTTGAAGATTTTTGGAGTTAGGCCTTTTTTTACTCCATCCCCCAAACTCAGCTCCTCTTGGGGACTCCACACGGTAACCTTGGCAGTTCTAGGCTCCCTTATTAGTTTCAGAAAAAATTAAAAAAAAAATACTGAGTCTCAAAGGATGTAATTCACCCATCTTAAGTCATATACTTACTCCTAAACTAACCAGTATTTCTAGGGAAGATGTGGTATTGAGTTGACTATGTCAGGGACACAGTTGTGCCTGCTTCAGGGATTGTAGTCGATTTTTATTTTCTTTTCTATATTTCTCCTATATATTCCAAATTTTCTACAATGACTCTGTGATACTTTTATGATCAGAAAAATGACATTACTATTTTTTTTTCATTTTAAAAAACGTGTATTTATTCTTGAGAGAAAGAGACAGAGTGAGAGCAGGAGAGGGGCAGAGAGAGAAGGAGACACAGAATCTGAAGCAGGCTCCAGGCTCTGAGCTGTCAGCACAAAGCCCAATGTGGGGCTCAAACTCACAAACCATGAGACCACGACCTGAGCCAAAGTTGTACACTTAACCAATTGAGCCACCCAGGCACACCTGAAGACATTATTTTCAAAAAGAGGACAAAAAAGGAAGAGCAAAAGGTCTGATTCACTCTTCTTTTGCATAATATATAACATTACTGTCACTGAACCTGTTTTGCTTAGTTCTGGAGAAATAGATCTTAGATCTACTCAGTTTTTCACACATCATGCTACAAATTAAGAATTCTTTTGATCCAGGCCATTTTTAATTCTGCTGAAAATAATTTGAACATGAAAGCTACTAGACAGCCAGGCATGAGACAACTTGCTTTAAAATGTGCTTGTGGTAACAAAAGATTCTAGACATAGTGGTATATTCCTTTGTTCCACAGAGATGACTCCATTATTTCTTCTGTTTTACATGCAGCTATTTGCAGGATTAAAAGATGCTTCTAAGTATAGACCTTCCACATAAACTTTGAGACAAACAAAAGGATAAAGTTAATTATAAATTCAGGAAAAATCTTGTGTGCCCAAAGTAAATCTATGGTGTAATGAGTAGCCTTAACAATACTAACTTTCAATAAGTATTGTTTCTCCAATGCCATGTACTGTATGAGATTTCCTTCAAGACTGAAAGTGCATTGTTCAGGTCTTAAAAGGAATTCTAAAGAAGATCTCTCACCATATAAGAATCATGGACTAAGACTCCAGTTAATGTGCGATAGATTTGCAATAGTATAATTAACAATGTTGATTACATTTATTTTTAGACCACAATGCGCTAAATAAGCAGATCTCCACCCTGCTTATCCTAGGTCACTAGTCTATCTCTTCCTTGCCTGCTTTCCTTTGGCCAAATTCTAACCCTGAACCCTGACCCCCATGCTACCCTGCCTTCAGTCCCAGTTCAATTTCTTCAGATCCTGCTTCTGGAAGAAATCAAATACAACAAATTTTGCTAGGTTAAAATAAATAATTAAAAAATGTTCAAAAAAGTGTGTGTGTGTGTGTGTGTGTGTGTGTGTGTGTATACACACATACATACATATATATATATATATATATATATATATATATCTCAACTGTTTTTTTTTTCCTTCTGGAGAAGAGAATGCTTTTATTTCTCCAAGTCAACACCCTAACCAAAAGAAATGGATAAAAATTTTGTTGCCTTAGCGGGCTAGCTAAGCAAAATTATACACATGCACACATAGATATCACACATGTATATATACATGTATGTGTGTGTAATATATATATAATGTTATATAATATATAATATAATATATATGTTATATATAACATATATTTGTAAAATTTGGATTTCAGGATGTTCAAGTCACATGTAAAGACAACAGCTTAAGACACATACATGTTTTTAAAAACTTCTTCCTTTGGCGAATTTGAACCAAATATCTGCACAGATATATATATATATAAATTTTATTCTAGAGAAAGATAATAAAGATTGAATCAGGGAATAATTGAATTTTAAATAATGAAGTTTTGTGTTTCACAGATAATGTTCAGTTTCAAAACTGAACATTAAAACTCACTTCCAGTATCATTTCTCTTTTTAATGCTAGAAACAAATATCTATGGAACACAGAGGTGGAAATAAATGGGGACCTATCATATAGAGATTAATTCTGTCTAACCATTTGCTCAATGTTCCTTCTTATCTATCTACACCTGCAACTGAAAAGAGTTATTGTTTGGTTGGACTATAGGAGTCACTCTACTGTATTACACTGAAATAATGACATTTTTGTGCAAAACTTAGGACTGCTTCATTTCCACAGTTTAGGTATAGTTAAAATATTTAATTTAAGATGACATATAATTTGTAAGGAGAGCCCTTGTGATGAGCACTGGATGTTATATGTAAGTGATGAACCACTAAATTCTATTCCTGAAACCAATACTACACTATATGTTTTTTTTAACATCTATTCTTTTTTTTTTTTTTTGAGAGTGAGAGAGACAGGGAGTGAGCAGGGGAGAGGCAGAGAGGGAGACACAGAATCTGAAGCAGGCTGCAGGCTCTGAGCTGTCAGCATAGAGCCTGGCGGGAGGCCGAACTCCCAGACCGCGAGATCATGACCTCACTGAAGTTGGATGCTTAACTGACTGAGCCACCCAGGTGTCCCTACACTATATGTTAACTAACTCGAATTTTAAAAAAATCTTGGAAAGTAAAAAATATATATATAAAATTTGGAAATAAAAAATTTCTTATAAACAAAATTGCTTTAGTAAATTAAAGTAAGCACCCTAATAGTATATTATGCAACCATTTTAAAGGACATTTAAAATGCTATGAAGAAATAAAGAAAGAATAAAAATATTTATATCATTTTATATATAAAAAATGAATGAGAGCATTGTGTCACAACTATAAATAAAATGATTACAGACAAGGCTCAGAAAGCAATGTGTAAATGATGAAAAGTTGTGTTTGAGTACTGGGATTAGGAGTGACTTATTTTAATATCTTCTTCAATTTGATAATAATGCTTTCTATTAAAAAGCACAAAGTTAATGTCTTCATATTTAGCTGGGACTGTTTCCACCATTAACAGATATACCTGGATGTTGCTTTCAATCAAACTATAGAAGGTCATAAATCAATTGTCTTTCATTTCTTAAACACCTGATTGTGGAACATAAATCCCCTGGTTAAAGCATTCTGTATTTAAGATTTCTCATCTGATCCTCCCATTTCTTCTTAATCAGTGAGTGCTATCAGCTGATGAGTTTGATTCATTTTCCTTCAGTTAAGAGCAAATATTTTCATTATTCAAATTATGTTCTGAACATCATGCTATTAATTATACACAAAACATGGTTCCTTCACAATTTTTCCTGACATTATCCTTAAGAATCAAGCATATGCACACATCCACCAAGAATTTCAAATGCACTCAGCTTAAAAAACATGTCTACCTGGAAATATGTACATATTGACTTTATTTTGATTCTGTAACTATAAAGGAAAGTAAAAGGGCAACAGGAGAATGTGAATAACTCACTTACATAAAAATGGTTCATCAGCTATCAGACTAAGGATACCTCATCTCACCTAGAGTTCTTAAAATTGAAGGTCACAATGCATAAATGGGTATGTTTGATTTTTTCACTAGTCCAAAGAGGAACCTCTGCATACCAGAAATTAAAATTAAATCATATATTTTAAATCTCACAGCACCACAGTCTCCTTCCACCATACTATGTAAATTTCTGAAACATCTCAAAATGGCAACCCCAGTCCATAATACGTATGCAGAACTATCACTTATTCTAGCCACCTCCTCTCTTGAAAGATACCCCTGTGGTCTTTGGTGTTGGTTTCAGCCTCACTCATCTTTCTGTTGTTTGTTTGCAAGAAGAGACTGAAGAAAGAGACAGACCTACTCCATATTGGGGGGTGAAAGTTTTACAAAGCAAGAGAACTTACTGATGAGGCTTATCTGGGGGGCCACAAGAGGATTAGATTTCTGCACCTACCTGCCAGAAACCTAAAAGTTTATATACAGGTCTTAACAGGGTTCAATCATATATACCATTCAGATGATCTGAACACTACATCAGTATCGCAAGGCTGTATCCTTAAGACAGTTTCTAGCATGGGGAAGATAAAGACAGTACACATTCCAAGAACAGGGAAGAGGGGTGAAGGTCTGATTGCCAGGATCTAAGCTTGAGGAACAGGTGGTCATGTCCTTTTAATGACCTCCTCCAGAATTTGTCTGGATCCCATTATGGTTAATATGTGACTATTTATACCTAACTTAAATCATCAGCGTTCTAGAGGAACTCCATCTCTGGTTAGCATCAGATTAACACTACAAATATATATATATTTTAACTTTCTTTTTAATGTTTATTTATTTTGAGGGAGAGAGAGACAGAGTGTGAGCAGGGGAGGGGCAGAGAGAAAGGGAGACACAGAATCCAAAGCAGGCTCCAGGTTCTGAGTTGTCAGCACAGAGCCCGACGTGGGGCTCGAACCACAAACCATGAGATCATGACTTGCACCGAAGTCGTATGCCTAACCAACTGAAACCACCCAGGTGCCCCAACAACACAAATTTCATTTTAGAACCTGTCCTAAGCAAGAAGAAATAAATAGGTTTGCTTTTATGTGTCATTATAATAAGAGTCATGATTTCTTGAGCACTTGGAGGCCAGGCATTATACAAAATACTTTTAATCTGATTTAATCCACACAAAAGCCCATCTGGCAGATAAAAACATTGAGGAACATTCAAATATGGGTCTGACTCCAATAACTAGCACTGTACTCCACTATCATTCAACACCTATCCTGAATATATCTATACCTAAACTCAGTCCCCATTCCTAACTAAACCACCCTGTCCATCATCTCCATGCTTGGGTCATAGGTCCTACACTCATATGTATTAGAGATCTTAAAAAATACCCTAATGTTGGCTGTAAAATTAGACAGTCTCTCTGTATTATCAATTTCTGCATAACAAATTTCTCTGAAACTTAGCAGCTTCAACAGACATTTATTATCTCAGTTTCTGTAGGTCATGAATCTAGGCATGGCCTACTTGGGTCACTCTGGCTCAAAGTTTCTCATAAGATTGTCATCAAGCTGTTGGCCAGGCCTACGTTTCACATGGAGTCTTTTTTTTTTTAATGTTTATTTTTGAGAGAGAGAGAGTGAGCATGGGGGAGGGGCAGAGAGAGAGGGAGGCACAGAATCTGAAGCAGACTCCAGGCTCTGAGCTTCCAGCACAGAGCCTGACACAGGGCTCCAACTCCCAAACTGCAAGATCATGACCTGAGCCAAAGTCAGATGCTTAAATGACTTTGCCCCTCATGTGGAGTCTTGAGCAGAGGTGGAGAAAATAAGAGGCTCTGTTTTCATGCTCACTCACATGTTTGTTGGCAGGTCTAGGTCCCCTGCCACAAAGACCTTTCCACAGGACCTTCTCATGATAAGGCAGCTCACTTCTTCCTGAAGAGAGCTCTGAGACAGAGAGCAAGAGAGAAAAGCCCCAAGACAGAAGCCATAGCTTTTTTATAACATAATCTTGGAAGTGACACCCCACGACTTCTGCTGTATTCTCTTCACTAGAAACAAGTCATGAATCCAGTAAAGGGGATTCCATATGGGTGTGAATATGAGGATGCAAGATGACTGAGGGCCCCCCAGAGGCTGTTTTCTGCACCACTACCCCCAGCACTCCCTCCCACCTGTGTCTCACATCCCTGTGTCTCCTCATCTTCAAGTCATCACTGCCATTCTATCGCAGGGCTATAAAGATACGTTTGCTGTTCTCTTCACCATCATTCCTGGGCTCGAGTTCCTGACTCCTTTCTGAAATGGCACCTACAATCTCTATTTTATAATTCTTGAAGTATTTTTTATGGTCCTTAATGTCAGTTTAAGCTGCTCAGACTGTCACTGAAGCTAGATTTGAATTGGAAGAAAACTTGGCCTGATCTTTACCTGCTTCCCAATTTATCCCTACTGCCCCCTAGTGTTAGCCCCTAGACTCAGTGTGCCCTTCTATTTTTGTTTCCTACCTATATATAGGAATTTCTCTGAATATACTCATCTGAGTTTCAGATAATTTTGTACTAGTCTCACATGCTCACCCATACCTCATCCCCCACCATTCTTGCCTTTCCCAAGATAGACCGTTTCTAGGATAGACCTTTCTCATTCTGGCCTCCAGAGATCTTCCCCTGTGTCAGACAGACCTTTGTGCACTGGCATGTTGCCATCTCTTTCACCACTGCTCCTAGAAACTTCCATAACTTGGGATCCTAGGAACCCTTCAACCCTATTCAGATTGCTGCTGCATAGCTCTTCCCAAGTTGCCAAGGCTGGTTCTGCTCTTTGGTGATGCTTTGTTCTAAGGTCCAACCTAATGTTAGCATTTGGCATATCCATAGCAATGTTCTTAAAATTTACTTATTTTGTTTTACCACAAACATTTTATGGGTGTGGAAGATACCACAACCTACTTCTTCTATCGATCCTTACTTTTTGGTAGGAGAAAAATGCAATGAAGTATCAATGAAGTTGTAAGATTTTTGAGGATTTAGATTCACATATCTGCTTTAGTGAAGGAATATGGATAATTGATGACTGAATTGTCATATATACCTGTTTTGTCATGTACTTAAAGATTATAACCCTAAAATATGCTTCAATATTCACCACAAGGCTAACCAAACAATCTATAATAAAATGCATGAAAAATAATGAAGACAAACCAACGGTAAATTGTTGGAAAGAAGAGCAAAAATCAAAAATCACAGACAAGTCAAGGTAACACAGCTGATTTGCTGCTACACAAAGCATTCTTTCCTAAAATTTCAGAAACTCCATCTATCTACCAGTCTGCATGTGCAATGGAAGTTGCCAAACAGTAACAAGCATTAGTGGAATACTTAAATTGATAGCTTTAATAATATGATAACATTCATTTAAATACTAATTACTAGTTAATCCTTTATAATGCATTTATTTTACTAGCTAACAATGCTTAGTTTTACCTAAAAAGTCTATGTATTTACATACCATCCATCTATAAGAACTAGAAAAGCTGAATTTTCAACTAAATTTATAGCACAGAAGAAGAAAACTCTTGACTGATTATTAGAATTCCACATCCTTTGTCTGACACCCATAGGTTTAGATGTATTTCAGAATTTTTCAGATTTAAGAAAGAATCCAGTGCATAAACTACATATGATATACTGCAGCACTGCTAAGGGCAGTACCCTGTAAACAAATACATTTTTATGTCTACTGTAACACATACATTAAGTGGGATAAATAAAGAACTATAAATAGCTTCAAATCACTTCAGGTCAGGATTTGCTGCCAGATGAGTTTACACCAAAATTAACAAAAAACTTTTGTTTCTATCGATTTGGGGATTTTGTAATTTGTGGCTAAGAGGTTACGATTTATATAGTGTTCCAGGTGGCATTTCAGATCTGAAATGTTTAAATCACCCCAACATTAGTAATCACTAGTGCCACCTCCAAATGCTTTCTTTAAAAACTCACTCAAGCTCCTCCAGCCCCCTATTTTCCCATTTCTGTTCAAGATGTGGTCTATTAAGGAATTGTGCATGTCCTTTCTTCTCCTTTCAACTTTATTTAATGTTATTTTTATTTTTATTTTTTTTCTCAAATTTTTTTTTAACGTTTATTTTTTTTAAATGTTCATTTACTTTTGAGACAGAGAGAGACAGAGCATGAATGGGGGAGGGTCAGAGAGAGAGGGAGACACAGAATCCGAAACAGGCTCCAGGCTCTGAGCAGTCAGCACAGAGCCCGACACAGGGCTCGAACTCACATACCGCGAGATCGTGACCTGAGCTGAAGTCGGACGCCCAACCGACTGAGCCACCCAGGCGCCCCTAAAGTTATTTTTAAAAAATAATTTACATACAGTAAGCTAAATAAAATTAGAGTACATAAAGCTGAATTTTAATAGTTGTATATATCCATGAAATCAAGGCCGCAATCAAGACACAAAACATTTCCAACATCCTCAAAAGATTCCTCCTGCTCCTTCATAATCCATCTCTTCCACCCCTCCCCCTTAGTTGGCCCTTAATGTGCGTTTTTCTCACTTAGACAAATTTGTATTTTACATTAATGAATAATAAACAATGTACTCTTTTGCATCTGTCTTCTTTCACTTGGCATAAGGTTTTTGAGATTCATCTCTGTTGCTGCATGTATCAGTTCATTTTATTGCTGAGTAGTACTCTAACCTACAGACATACCATATTTTCTCATTCACCTTTAGTTAGTCATTTTGGTTCTTTCCAGTTTGGGACTATTGCCAGTCTAGCAGCTGTCTGAATGAAACTGAATACAGTTTCATTTCTCTTTTATATAAATACCTAAGATCAAACTGATTGGGTCAAATAGTATGTATATATTTAACTTTTTGAGAGATTTAGTTTTTTCAAAGTGATTTGCAATTTACATTTTCATCAACAGGATATGAAAGATACATAAATTCCCATTTTGTGTATCTTATTTGTGAAGTCAAAATTCAAGTAGTTTTCTCAAATTTTCTATTGGGTTGTTTTTCTTCTTGTAATTGAGTTATAATTATTCTTTTTCCAGTACACAAGTCCTTTGTCAAATATACATATTGGAACATTTTCTCCCATTCTATGCCCTGCTTTCCATTTTCTTAATATTTTGAAGAACAAAAGATTTAAATTTTTAGAAAGTCAAATTTATCAAATCTTTTCATTTTTATGAAGATTTTTCTCTTACCATTTAAAGAGTTTTATAGTACTAGATTTACTTTTAGACTTATTACTCTTTTAGAGTTAATTATTGTATATGGTGTGAAGTAAGGGCTAATGTCACTCTTCTAAAAAGTATGTCTCTAATTGTTCCAACACCATTTGGTTGAAGACTGTTCCCATTGAATTGTCTTGACATTTTTTACTGAAAATCAATTGGCCATTTATTGTAAAAACCCTCAATAAAGTAGAATTAGAGGAAACATACCTCAACATAATAAAAGCCATATATGAAAAACTCATAGCTACTCAATGATGAAAAACAGAGTGATTCCCCTCATGTCACACACAAGACAGGGATGTCCACTTTCACCACTATTATGTAACATAGTACTGGAAGTCCTAGCCACAGAAATCATACAAGAGGAAGGAAGAAAAGGCATTCAA